GTACCAGAAACATAAGCCATAGTTCAGAGCCAGAAGGGAAATAGGCCACCTGTGGCTTTTGTTTTTGATATCATTTTTCTTTTGTTATATTAAGACTAGGTGTTGCATTGTAGTCATGCTGGCCTGAAATTCACCAAGTCTCCTCCTGCTTCAGACCTCCCAAGTGTTCAGATTACAGGGGTGAACTAACCCGCCTGCTTTTAAAGCTAAGTTTAAAATATTCTAAGAGCCAAGTGGCAGTGGCTCATGCCTGTAATACTAGTTACTCAGGAGGCTGAGATGTGAGATCTCAGTTCAAAGCCAGCACAGACAGGGAAGAACATGAGACTTATCTCCAGTTAACCACCAAAAGGCCAGAAGTGGATCTGTAGCTCAAGTGGCACAGCACCAGCTAAACATGAAAAAGGTGATGGACAACACCTAGACCCTGTGTTCAAGCCCTGGTACTGGCACATGCACACACACTTGCACACATGAACTTTAAAGAAATAGTGAACACATGTATGGTGTATATGTGTACACTGTTATATATTATAGGCCGTGATAGACAATTTGCTCCAGGAAAGTTAGAATGTGTTTGTGACTTTAACTGAGCATCACTATCCCACAATACTGTGAAATTTGGGAAATTATGTAATTACTTAATCACAATAAAAAAATAGTGATCAGAAGCAAATTACAGGTATATAGAGCAGATCCCATCCCTAAAATGACTAGATTGTCATTTTAGGTTTTCCTAGTAGCCACGATAATGTAATAATTTAAAATAACGTGAAATAAATCACAGTGTTTAATTCCTCATACAGAAAATACTGTGTCAACATGTAATTAGTATAAAAAGATTGAGGTACCTTATAATTTTGTACAAACTCATCAAAAGTCACTTGATATTGGATAAGTTCAAGCACATGTATCTTTCTGGCCACATTTCCAGTGCTCAACAGCCACCTGTGGCTAGAGCTTTTCATATTGAACAGAGTTGCTTTAAAGTAGGGCACAAATGTGTCACTAGTACTCATCCCTCCTCTTGAAATTGAAATTCTCAAGTGTTCCTCTCTGGTGACTATAAATAACAAATAGGATAGCTCCACAATGTGATGCAGAATGCTTGTACACACTCATTGACACTTTTCATGGGCAGACAAGGTGAAAAAGTTTGTGTGTTTTGCTTCACTCCATACTCCAGCCCTGCTGGAGGTCAGGAGAACCCTTGACCAGCTAACTTTTTCAGGGTAGTCTATTATGGGATTTAGACTTTGAGACTTCCTATAGGAAGTTTACTTTCCTGGTTCCTACCACATTCTTTGTAACTTGATTGCAGCACTTAGCGGATATAGGAAAACATATAATACACATGGGAAAGCTCACTAGTTACCTCTATGCATCTTGCATCACTCACTCACTGAACAACTACTATGTTCTAGCCAGGCATTGCTCTAGCCGTGTGCTAACAGCAACAGTACTGTTTTGGTGAAGCTTTAGTCTAAAAGGAAGAGAAGTGGTGAAACAAATAAATCTAAGGTAAGAAGAGCATGGAGAAAAGTAGAACCAGGAAAGGGGATGGGAGAGTCAGAGTTTCCAGATTTTTAAATAAGAAGGTCAAGGTCAGGGATGGTATCAGAGGGTGATGATGAAGCAACACTGAATGCTGGGGAGAGGAATGAGGCTTGTACATTTGCTGTGATATATGTGAAATTTCCCATAAGGACTGATGAGAGAGTTTTCTGGGTCCATTGGAGGAACAGCTCATTGGCCTGAGAGGAGGAACCGAGAAAGCAAAAAGCCCAGGATTTTCAGATGATCCACTGAGAAGAGAGTTCCTAGGGAGGGAGCATAAGGGAGGTGGTGGCGGTTAAAAGGATCAGAGACTCTCAGCCATTCTGTGGCTGAGATGCCATGGGAAAGACAGCAGCAATTCTTTTTTTTTTCATGGTCAGAATATGTACTTTATTTATTTATTTTTTGTGAACACACTGTATAGAGGGGTTACAATTACATGGGCAGGATAATGTGTACATTTCTTATCAAGTATTGCAGCCTCCTCCTTTGTTTACCCTTCACATCCCTTCCCAGCCTCCCCCCCCCACCCCCCAAACCCA